TATCCTTTCCAATCTTTCTCTTATCAACATCATTAATAGCCAGACCATCATACCACGTGCAAGCATCTGAAAAGTTCTCGAAAGGATAATCGATAGAGAACAGAATACGATCAGCTCCAACCTCTCCAAGACAGAACTGCAGTGTTGATGTAGAGAAGTGTCCACTGGTGGTGATCCACAAGTTGCGGGCAAAGTATTCTCGGATAGTCAACTTGCAAGACAGACCAAGAGGCTTCTTGATATCCTCGAACCAATGGTTGATTCGCCACATGTCGAAAGGAATATGCTCGCCGAGATGGCCGAGAACGATCTGGAGCTTGGGATGTCTGTCAAAGACACCGTTGGTAACCATACCGAGGGCGTGAAGGCTGACACCCTGGGCGAAGCTCAGAGGAGGACCAATGAGCCAGCTGCGCTTGGCCCAGAGCTTCTCGTGGATGGAGCCTGTGGGGTTGCGGGGGTGGAGGTAGAAGGGGACGTCCAAGTCTGTAACTGTGGACCAGAAGACATCCCACTCAGGGCCGTCGTAAAAGATCATGTCGTCTCCGTCTGCACCAGCTCGTTGAGTATCGTTGACAAGAGCACCCTTGAAGCCGTACTTGGTGACAACTCTTCGGAGCTCCTCAGCAGCTTCCTTGGGGTCGTGCATAGAGAGAGTGCTGAAGCTGTTAGTGACGTTATGGATATGTGACATATGACTTACGCAAAAGCACCGAGACGATCAGGGTGAGCCTTGATGGCATCAGCGATATAATCGTTGACCTCAACAGCTAGAGCCTGAGCCTCCTTGGGGTCCCAGACATCTTGCACACCAGGTGCAGTGTATGAAAGAATTGTGTAGCCAACGCCATGCTCGTTCATGTACTTGATGCGCTGGTCTGTGATGTCGTTGATCTCGGCAGCGTGCTTATCAGGGTCGATGGCAAAGAGACCAGCCCACCATCGTGTTCGCTCCTTGTGACGGGGGAGAGCGAAAGCTTCCTCAAGAGCAACCTTGCCGAGCATGATGAATGTGATATGTGTGAAGTGAAGATGATGGGAGAGAGTGAATTGATGATGAGTATGTTTTGTTATCTGGAGTTAAACATGGACATATATATTCAACTCGATAACTATAAACACGATACAATACCACCATATGAGACCGCATTACCCCGTTCCGGATAATGCACCCGCCTCGTACAGTAAATTCCGTTGATTCCGTTTGGACGAGCGGATAATGCACCGTCAATGCTAAACCTTAACAGGAACGGCATTTGCCCGCGGTCCGATCAGTCTGCGGGGTAAGATCGTCACCCACTGATTACGGTGGGAGCGCTCACTAAGGAAGATCCGAAGTCCACTATCGGAAGTCGGAAGCAGGGTCACGGAGCGACACATTATTGAGATAAACTGCAACGCACAAGCTTTGAGACAGCGCAATTCAGAATCATCACAAGATCACCTAACGAAACGTCAAAATGGAACAGTCGTATTCTGTGCAGAGTCCCTCGGATCAGTCGGTTCAACCGCACGTTATCCAGTTCCTCCAGGCCTTTTATGCCGTTTCCGACACTCCAGGGGAGACCGACAAGTATGTAGACATGTTTGCGAAGGACGCGACGTTTGTTCTCGCATCAAAGAAGGCTTCAGGCCACGCCGGTAAGTCTCCCGTTAGGCGGATGAGCAGCAATTGACGGTGTAGAAATCACCACCTTGAGACAAGGGATGTGGGAGGCTGTTGCGTCGCGGAAGCACACTCTCAACAAGGTGTATCCGTTTGGCGCGGGTTCAGACGAGGTCATGCTCCATGGTTCAGTGGCTTTGCAGCTGAAGAATGGCGGCTCGGCAGAGATTGAGTGGGCGGGGAGGGCCGAGTTGGAGAAGACGGCTGCTGACGGGAAGTATCGGCTCAAGTTTTACCAGGTGTATTTGGTGAGGACTTTGCTACAAATGAGAGATGTAATGCTAATGATTGATAGGATACTGGAGCTGCGGCAGCATACAAGAAATAGACTGATAATAGAATGAAATATTTGTCATCAATGATGTACAGTTGGTGCGAGTATTCAAGTGACGTGATGCCTTGTGAGCTGCCGAAGGAGTATGTAAGTCTGGATATTGCGATGAAGCAGTAGATCTGAACATCCTAATCTTCTGAGGTTGATCAAAGCGAAGATCATATGGCGAGATATATCCTACATTCGCGATGCAGAGTAGAGTACCTCTACGAGCTCAGTGACAAGAGCAGTTCAATAGTACATGAGCACCACTCAAATTCCTTGAGGATGGTTTAAGAGAGCGAAGCTTTGCATATTTGAAGTTAGATGCTGCTATTATGTATCACGTTTCACAAATACTTCCTGACAATGCATTAATCTCGGCAAAGTGAGCTTGGAGTTGAGCTTTATGTCGAGGACACAGGGATTGGCCTCTTGCTGCACCTGTTGACCGGTTCCGATCCCAATACCACGGCTTGTGAGGCTAGCAAGATTGATGTGTGCCTTCAATGCCGTTTCTGTAGCGTCTAATACCACGAGAGAGTCCATACGAGGAAGAGGTTGGATAATAGCTCGGGGATCAGGGTTTCCCTCGGCAACCTGCACATAATCCTACGTCACAGATATGTAAACTAATGAACGGGTACCTGACATAGACAGCCAGTCATATTCTAGACTAGCCCGCTGCTGTCAGTGTTAGACTTGACAAGGGCCTGCAGATCCCAATCGTTGCAAACCCCTGGATCTTGCCGCATATGGGAATAGTTGAGACCCTTGGAAAGCGGCCAGACTGTCCAACACCCTAGGTGATCCACCGGGATGATCGAAAGTTCGACCAGGGGTCTTGAAAGGTTCATAGTCCGGTGTATTGGTGTGAGCTAGTCATAGCCTCGATCTGCCTGTAGCAGAGGTGGAGACACGAAGTATGAGGAAACGAGGCGACAGGTTAGTGAACCAATTTAACATTTTGAAAACCGACTATAACAAAGCTAAGATATAAAAGTCCCCAACTCCTCTTTTCCCATTTATTTACCGACAATGACACCGTTAGGCAGCTCAAGTCCCAGAGGCAGACCGTTGAGGAAGCCACCAGCGTACTTCTCTCCTTGTGCCTTGGCCAACTTCTCCTCGATATCCTTGTACATATCATATGTGTTCATCTCCTCGATTGTGAGGACCTCCTTCTCGTTCTCAACCTTGTATGTAGAGATGTTCTTGTTGACAGAGAAGCCTGATACAGTTAGTTTGAATCGAAGTTATGAAGCATACAGTGACTTACCAATTCGCTCGTTGATGTTGTAGGCAGCCTTGGCAGCAGCGGCTTGAACACGGGTAGCTCGGGGAAGGCGGACCTTGTCGTAGACAGACAGAGCCTGCTTGACATCACCGTTGAAGTATCGCTTGCTGAACAAGATGCCAAGAGCAGCAGCATCCTCAATAGCCATGCATGCACCCTGGGACTGATGAGGCATCATGGGGTGACCAGCATCTCCGAGAAGGCAGACGTTCTCCTTGGCGATGTAGGGGTAAGGCTGGTGTACCCACAGACGCCAGGGCTGGATCTCCTTTCCAATGGCAAGATGTCCAAAGACTTGGCGGTCGAGCTCGGGGTAAGGCTTGAGGAGATCCTCGGTGGGGAGGTCCTCAGATCCCCAGGCCTGTGTGGTGTAGTCACCCTGCTCGCGGGGGAAGAAGCAGTAGTATGAGAGAAGCTTGCCACCGTTGCAAGGAGAGAGGACGATCTTGTCCCATTTTCCTTCTTGGCCGCCCCAGTACTCGAGAGCACTGTTTTGTGAGTAGTCGACGAGACCAGCCTTGACGGCCTCTTCGGTTGTGACGTTGCAGTGGAGGCAGCTCTGGTCAGAGGGCTTCTTCTCGGGGTTGATGCCGAGGATCTTTCGTACAGCAGAGCCAATGCCATCAGCACCGATGATAAGATCGTGCTTAGCAGTGACACCATTCTCAAAAGTGATAGTACCTGTGGGGAAGTCGATAGCGGAGCACTTGTGGTTGACCAGTAGCTTGGCAGGGGTACCCTCTCCCTCGCCCATGGCAGTATCCTTGAGCATAGCGTGCATGTGTTGCCTGTGGAACATGTTGTACACGAAACCCCATCGCTTCTCGTAGTCATCGAGATCGTACACACTGACAGGCTCGCCGGTCTTCCAGTCGCGGTTGATGAGCTTCTTGAGAACGACGGGGTCACCCTTGGCGACGTCGACGTCCCACTCGTGCAGCCAGCGGGTTCCGTTGGCGGCGCAGGATACTGAGGCGCCGACTTCACCGGCAAAGTCTGAGCGCTCGTAGATTGTGACGTCGTGGCCTGCGCGGCGGAGAGCGATAGCTACTGACATGCCACCGATGCCACCGCCGATGACACCAACATTGAGGCGCTTCCAGTTGGGCATCGTGGGGGCGTTGTCCTTGATCATTTTGAAGGTGTGAAGATGTGATATGGTTTGTTGTGAGATGTGAGATGAGATGAGAGGCTAAGAGTGAGTGATTGTAGGATGAGATGAGATGTTATTGTATTGAATGAGTTGATGATGATGAATTGATTCGAGTTCAAGTCGAGCAACCATCACTATTTAGCTTCCTCTCGTCGAAACGTTATCTACCCCGGATCGCCAACCATTCAGAGTTCATACCCGCCCTGCAACCACTATCAACAACTTGTACCGCCTGCGGCTGTAATTTTCGGAAGTTCCGTATTCACGATAGGTTATCTAGAGATAGCGGAAGTCCACAGCACGGAAGTGGTGCGATATCCGCTAGCGTCGGGTAGCGCACTGCACCCGTTTTACTGATAGCACCCGCGTATTTGCGGTAACCTCTGTGCGGATCTGCGGATCGTGGGAGATTTCTGGGGTAGTCACTTGATCAATTGTACCGATGATTAGCGGAGGTTGATGCGAGGTGTCAGTGTCGGTGCTGTCACGACGGTTATCACGAACAGCGATATTGAAGATGGCGATTGTTCATACAGGCTCATCAATTCATACAGTTCTACAGACAGCTAACTCATGATAAAAATGGATACGTATCCCATAACGATACATTCAACGTCTCCCAGTCCAAACTAAAATCCCCACCATCAGGTTGCTGAAACACCCAATCCTGCATCGTATCATCCATCATCTGACCTGTCTGAGCATCTGTAAATGGAAACATTGTATCTAGCATCTGCTGGGCAGACTGTGACCCTGCAGTCTCAGGCGGTGCATCCAGACTAAACAGTTTGGAGACGTAGCGGCTTCTTCCACTAGATGCCTCGTTTGCTCGTCGCTTGTCAATAGCCCCAGACAGAGTTGTCAGAATGTCGAGATAGTGCGCTGCTTGTGGACTCTGAGTTGCTAAATGCCTGAGGACGTCTTTTGCGCCTTCGAATGCGTTGCTGATGTCTGATTCAACGGGGTATTTGGCGAATATCTCCAGGCCGAGTACTAGTCCTGATGCGAAGACGAGGGCTCTGTAAGCTGTTAGAATGTAGATCTTTGTGGATAGCCAGTGAACTTACTTCATAATGCACATGTTCCCTTGTAGTAGCCCAGCGTTGAGAGCTTCGGAACATGTTTGCGACAGATACATCGCTGCATCAAGACATGCAGCGGCCAACTGAGTATGGGCTCCCTTTCCAAGACCCTTGGATGTAAGTGCCGAAACCAAAAACGGTCTTGAAACGAGCATAACAGCCAGATAATACAGACACGACACGTAAACCTTGGCAATAGCTCCGTGTTGTTGCGTTACTGTTCCTGGACTGGGATCTGCTGAGGGTATCTTGACCGAAGCAGGAAGCTCTCGTTTCCAACGTTCAATGTCTTGGAGGAACTGTTCGACAATGGCAGTCGTGACCTTTTTCTGGTCATAAAGCGTATCTGTGATATCGTTGATAATTGTGGAAACTCTGTTGGACGCCATCAAATGCTCGGTGATGCTATCGCCCTTTTGCGCGACGTCATCCAGCTTACTGCTGCTATTCGATCGGATCTGGGCAGAAGCGGATGGTCGGCCGAGAAGCGAATTAACAAGCTTATCAAGGATACACACGCTCATCCATACCCGCAACCTAAGCCATTAGCCACATCCGAATCACTATAAAGGCCCAAACTTACTTTGCCTGGTCCTCCGGTCCGGGCTTCGCAGCATAAGACTCTCTGCTATGCAGACCCAGAGCGAGGGCGGCTTTTGCAGCGACTCCGAGATACATAAACGCTGCGTTTCTTCTGCACTCGCCGAGCATGAAGAATGCCATGAGGAGGAATGTGCGGACCATGTCTAGGTCTGGATCTTCGAGGAACCCAACGAATGCTTGGCTGCGAGCGCGGCGGAAATATGCTTGGCCTATTGTTCGGGCGCTGGAGAGGGACTCGCATTGGGCGCCGATTGCGATGACTAGGTCAACTGAGGCTTGTTTGAGAGGTGAGAGGTTGGGAGAGGGAGAGTAGCCTGTGTCGTCGTCTAGATTGAGGAGAGTTTCGAGTTCCGACGCGTCAAAGACGTGGATTAACGCTTCGGTCTGCTATCATCAGCATACAGTCGACAAGTGTTGGTGTAGACATACAACTACGTAATAAGACCTCAAATACTGCTGTTTCTGGTCTGGACTTAACCTCATCGCGCTCGTTTCATCATGTGTTGTAGCTGTCGGCGATTCAATCTCGAGCATGGTATCGCTTTTCTCGTTGTGAGAAAATGCCGATGGTCCAATTTGCTGCGACACCAAATTCCGCACAATCTGCAGAAACGAGATTGACGCTGCACCTCCAATATAAACTAACAAATAAGCATTTCATCGGCAATTGCGACAGGCTTTCATACCTCTTTCGCCTCTCGAGTTGAGCAGCATTCGCGGTGGATTCGACGCCTCAGTCTGGCTGTCCTTCTCATCATCCTGCTGCGAATGCGACGGCGACAACGGTCTATACCCCTCATCCGTCTCCATCGGCTGACTGCTCTGATGCGAACTCGCACTCATCTGCTCCGTCGTCACCGATCCCGCCGCCGCAGCCTTTGCAGCTTCAGCACGAGCTCTTGTTCTCGACCCTCTCGGAGCATAGGTGATGAAGCATTGCGACTCAAGACCGCGACGAACGCATTGCGTACAGGGCGCTGAGCCGCTGCATCTCTTTTTCGTCTCACGACACAGGTTGCAGGCTTCTGCTGCTCTTTGGCGTTGGTGCGCTGGGACTATTGGGCGAGGCATTGTGGTTTGTGGTGGTTTGGGGATGTTTGTGACGGGGACTGGGGGGGCATTCCGCAGAGATAAGGGCGATGAGAGGCCACCGTCCCACCGGCTTCCGATGGGGTTCCGTAGGTGATAAGCTTCACCCCCGAAGACTTGGTTAGGCTACTGATAGTGGTGTTTGCGGGGTAGAAGTGCTGTGTTTTCACTGGTTGGGGGATTGCGCTAACTGAAGAGCTTGAGCGTGATGACAAGGGCTCAGAGATACCGAGAAGCCCGATTGAGTGGAGTCATGACTGGAGAGGACCCTTGAGTCTCTTGCTTTGTCTCTTGCTCGGTAGTCCAGTCTCTTCAGCCTTATCGGTGTCAAGCAAATACGAGTCCACTCCCTGCGCTGCCTGCGTTTTTGCGCTTGACGGCGAGTTTAGCCGGGAGCCCATCATGAAGAATTGACGTCATCTCCAGCTTTTACATACCCTGGAGCCACGAAAATAGGACTAAAATAAATTATTCACCGTTCTGTGACAGATTTAACGAGGAAGTAGCATCACGTTGAAGCCAAAGAGTGATTTGATGCTGAATGAGCTCCAGACTTGAACCAAAGTATACCAAGTGCACGCTCGGCTTCAAAGTTGAATTGTTACTCCTACTTTCACTTCATTATCGAGGCCGCAGCATCTTTAATTAGTTCCCATAATTTGGCAAACAGCTCTTTGATGAACTTGATGAGATCAAAGCCAGGAGACCATACCAGTTCAAAAACAAAATAGTCACCAAACACAACACCTGCTATCTTGACCCTGAGGGGAGGGCCATTACCTACCAAGCCTTGGATAGACCCCTCAAACTCGACCAGCTGGATGTCAAACATTTTGCCAGCATGGTCGACAGCCCACTTGGCCATGTCTAATCCGATATCCACTGCCTTTTCACCAATCTCAACCGCATGCCGTGCCAAATTCAGCTCGCTCGTGTTATCTCGAGCAAACTGCAAGCCCTTCTCGGCCACGTCAAACGCTAGAAACTCGGTACATGAAGCCAGAGCGTTTACTGCGTCCTGCGCTGTGTTGATGGCCCCCTGTGCAACACTCTCGCCGGCATCAAGAGCACCTTTTGCCGCTTCGAAGACATGAAGCTCTTCGCTTGCAGTTTTGGCGACGGACACTGCCTCTGACGCAGCCTCGATGGCAAGATTGTGCGTTTCTCGAACGCCGTCCAACGCAAGCTTGGCGGCGTCGAGAGCTACGCCTTTGACGTCTCTGACTCGGTCAAGTGCGAAAACGGCAGTGCCGATTGTGGCCTCAGCAGTGACATAGCCAGTGCTCTGCACCACCCACTCAGCGGCGTGTAAGATGCCCTTGACGACTTCTAAGCTCCCATCTACGGCCACGAGTGCTATCTCGAGAGAAGCCCTTTCCGCGTAGAGACCCCCGCAGTTGTACCACGATGTGTCATCAATCTCTCGGTTGACGCGGTCAATTGACCACCTAACATCGTTGACACTACCTTGAGCTCGTTCCACGTCGTGTCTGGCGTTCTCGATGTCCCGGACCGCATTGCCAAACTCTCGGTCGAAATCATTCCTTGCTCTCTGCAGGTCGTCCTGAGCCTCCCGAATGCTTCTGTCGCTATCCTCTTGAGCGTGGTTGAGATCAGACTGTGCAGATCCGATAGCAGCATTCGCGTCGTTTCGCGCCTCTTCTAAAGCCCTCTCTACTTCCGCGATGAGTTGCTTCCAGGAGGCTTCAGCACGGTCAACACTGTCCTTCAAGCCCTGGACTGTTTGATGTGTCGATTGCTTGACGCGTTCGAATTCTCCATTGACGCGGTCACGCTTTTCGTTCCATATGGCGCGAGCTCTCTCTAGCTCTGCAATCGCCGCATCGCATTTTGCCTTGAAAGCTGCTTCTTGTCTATCTAGCTCGGCCTTGACTGAATCGAAGCCTTCCTTTGCGGCTTTCTGAGCGACATCAATCTGCTGCTGAACTTGCTGCGATATGTACTCAATGATGTGTTGTTCCATTACACCTTTGACCGCAAAGTCTGCCTTTTCTAGACTTTTTAAATCTTTCACATTGAATTTTCCCGTTAGCTTGGCCTGGAGCTTCAACATGAATAGATCTGAGAGACGTAGATCCACCCAGAAATCGAAAGTGGTTGATGGTAAGAAGCTCGCTTCCAGGTGAAGAGCAGCAGATGCCCCCATGATAGTCACAGCGCCATCAATAAGAACGGTCTGCTTGTCAGAAGAAAGCACAATGTCCACAATGGGATCCGGCCCTGTGGCGCCAGTGACCTGGAGTGGCCCGATGTTGAAGGCCTCAATTGTGGCCAATAGCTTGATCATGGAACCTACAGTGCACTCAAATTTCGCACGCTTGCCAAATATGGTCATGTCGCCCTTCAAGGAGGCGCCAGGGGGGTATTCTGTTAAGCCGATCTTGGTGCCAGTAGAGATATACAGCTCAACATCATTAAAGTGAAGAAAGTCATCCGGCTCAGGAAGTTCCTTTTCTGCAACGAGAGAGGCGAACTTAACAAGATCTGCGACCCCCAGATCCTTAACGGCAGCCGCCAGCAACTGCTCCTTGGGGTTTTGACTGAGTTTCATGGCCATCTTGGCCTCTTTGGACCCGATGTTGATCTGTCCAGCAAATCCCATTTCTCCTGGCATACCAGTTGCGAGGAATGTTGAGTATATGATGCCAAACTCGAGAGCCCCCCCTCGAATCACGACTTCTTTACCGATGCCACATGGGTTTATCCAGTCTGTAATCATCTGAGCATATGCCGAAGCACCGCTGTACCCGGCTTTGAGGCCAAGAGCAAATGCCAAGGGATGCGGCTGTGTGTCGAGAACAACGTTGAGTTCAGCATTGAGAACTAGCAAGATGTCCGTGGGGTTGGCACCGAGGTGAATCCCAAGGCTCAGAGGCCCGGTGTACACACGGTCCCCAAAGGTGATTGTCCTTGCAGCAGGGAGAATAAGACTCAGCTTGAACTTCCCGCCGGTATAGCAAGCCTGGAGTACTGTTCCCTTGACACTGCCCTTGAGAAGACTCTCCAACTCTGGTATGCTCTCGATCTTTGCGCAGAATTGGACACCCTTAGCTAGAGGATAGTTGTGCTTGTTGAAGGAAGCGACTGTCATGTCATGGTTCATGGCAACGAGCGCCAGGTTTGACAATGTCACATCCAAGAACGTGTCTTTGAGGACAGGGCATAGCGAGGCAGTACTCAAGTTACCGGATGCTTCTCCATAAACAGCCCATTTCAGTGGGCCATCTTTGTCCTTTTGCGTAAAGACACCAGCTCTAACATCAATGCCACAGAAAGATACATCTCCGGATATAGCAAAGCGTGTAGAGCGTCCTCCTGAATCCTCCTGTGACTTTTTGCTTCCGATGAAGACATCGAATTCAGCATTGTGGATCTCGAAGCCTTCAAAAGACACATCAGAGACGCCACCAGTGATGGAGACACCCGTTTTGGAGATGGTGACACAGCCGCCAGCACTGGAGTGACCATTGATGGTGATGCTTCCTGATAGCACGATTCCCTCACTTGATACCTGAAGATAGATGGAATTGAACTTGACGTCGTGGTCGAATACGTCCAGTTCTCCCTCTCCAGTCAGCTGCTTGAACAAACCCTCTAGGTCACCGAGAGCCAGGTTACCGACATATGCCTCCAAGCTGTAGTGGTCTTTGGAATAGGTACCAGATATAGAAACTGTGGTCTCGTGCCAGACCATTTGAGCCTCTACCGATAATGCGAAGGTTTTATCACCGGAGGATAGATTGCTCAGCGTGGCGGATAGCAAGACCTGCTGCAGGTCAAATCCCCGTATACCAAAGACATCTTTCCACTCATCGTCTTGAAGCCTGACCAAGAGAGAATACGTATCGAACATCTTTCGAAGCCTATATGTAGCTCGAAGGGGTACAATCGATCCTGGAACTGTCATATTGACATCACCAAAGAAGCCAAAGCCCAAGGACCAAGGGTTGACGTCCTTGGTGCAGTCCACATCAGCAAAAGCCAAGACTTCGACACCGAGCCTAGTCCATTCGAAGATGCCGAGAGCTTTAAAAGAGATGCGATCCAAAGAGGCACTTAGGACCAGGTTGACAACATCCCAAGGGTCGTCCCAATCCCTGTATGCGCCGAGATGGGCGCTGAAATGAAGAGCAGGCTTATCCTGACCGAAGAAGTCTCGAAGGGCATCAGAAACAGGCTGCATGGCTCCTTGGAACACAATGTCTGTCTCGAAGTATGCTCCAGAGGGCAAGAATGGATCTCCGAAATCCTCAACGTAACAAAAGCGCAGATTGTCCAAGACAATAGAATCGAGAACGCCATCTTTGAGGCTGGGGAGAAACTCTCCCAACGAGAGGCGACCCTTAGCTGGCCTGACTATCTCAGTGTATGGCTGCGCCTCAGTGAGAGTTCGGTATATCTCAATCTTGGCTGGAATGAGGTTGAAAAGCCTGATGTCGCCAGTGAGCACAATGTCGATAGGGTTCTTCGACAGGGGCCCAGGAACAAGGTCCTGCTCTAACACCCCTGCTGGCCTATTGCTAGAGTTGAAGGGATCGCCAAGCTTCTCCTCAGGCGTGATTTGTGGAGTAACAAGGCCGGTAACAGGATCAATCAAGGCTGATTGAGGATGAGCTGGGACCATGGGAACAAACTCCCCATTCGACTCTAAAGTGACAAATTGGGGGTTGTAGATGTTAAAGTTGTCATATCTCATGAATGGGGCTTTAGATGCATCCTTTCCAAAGAGAAAATCGGTAGCCGTGTCCTACATATGAAGTGACTGGTCAGTTAATGTGTAGTGCAAACTCGGTAAGAACTATATGGATACCTTTGCTTTCTTGATGGAACGATCAAGATCTAGTCCCGGTGAAGAAGGCCGCTTGAGTGTGCTTGTGTCAACTTTGGACATCTTCGCATATCGAGCATCCTCATCACCATCGTCAAAGGAGTCTGACCGGCCACGTTTGGCTGGTGCAGGGGGGGCCATGGCAGAGTCCAGTGATGAGTCCATGATGATGAGTGTGAATAGAGCTTGTCGATGGACCAGTCCGACTAATAAAACTGAGCAGATTTGAACTGTAGTAAGGTTGAGAGGTTGAAAGAGGGCCTGTGTTCTGGGGCGATGTCAAGTGTTTAATCAAAAGTGGCCAATATTTCAATGGTTGATCCGAATGTCGTATATGAATCATATCCATCGGAATGCAACGAAGTTCGAGTCGAGAGCGATATTTCGAGGAGACCTGAAAGCATCGGAGACACCGAACTATTTGCTTGTTGCATACCTAGTCTCTCAGCCGTTCGATAGCGGAATAGCTCGTCGAATCAGCATGATAGTTTTGGTGGAGCTGGCCTGATTACCGGCTAGCGCTGTATGGTAATATTGGACAGGCATCTCGATTTGGATAACAGTATTGACCTGAAAAGGTCACACGCAACCTTGACATAGTATTCTGTGGGTTTGCACTATTCCCGGCCGAGTTGTTGGTTAGAGGCTTGGCTTATGTGATTCGCCAGTCGTTGGCAGATAACGCGCGGCCCTTAGCCAGCCACAGTCTTTCAGCTCAGACCAATCGTTCAAACTAGACTTATTAGCGAGCCATATCTAGACTAAGAAGATGCTGTTTTTGGATTTAGTTCCGGGAGCAACATATCACCCCCTGCCGAGTCACAAACTCGAATGGTCTGGATCTCCAGGGTGGACATGTTTGGCTTGGGACATCTTATGCGCTCCGCCATGATAGATAAATTACTGAGACTGCATCCCTCGCAATGTTGTTATTATTCTTTCACAGCTATACATCATTTGCTTGCAATTCCAGTTATCAGCAACTCTACGTCTTTCGGTTCTCTCTTGTTTCTTTCCCTACCTACCCCTCAAACCTCCTTGCCCATACATCATGAACCTTGAAAACGTTGGTGAGACAGCGAGTAACCAAGGTCCAGAGCTTCGCATGAAGCTTGAAGATGACCCACGTATGACTGAGGGTACCGAAGAACCCAGTGTTTATACGGCGCTGGGATCCTGGACACGGCTGAGTTTGGAAAACCAGTATGTATATAAATTTGAGATGGAGGCCTCTCAAGGTGACTACGTGCGAAAGAGCGTTCTTGGAGGATTTCATCCTTATGCTCCTCTGCAACCTTACGGCACGGAAGATTCAGCCCACGATGCATATTACGTGAAGGTTCCAAATGGGTTCCTCAGAAGCAACTTCAACGACACGTTTGTGGAATTCTCTATCGAGTGGCCCAAGACCAAGCAGGTCAAGGGAGATATATATGTTTCTCTGCGATACTTGCAAGCTCTTGCTGAGAATAACGTGGCTTGGAATCCGTAAGTAATCGCCATATTCCTATCATGAGTCAACTCGCCAATATCTGGGTCAATTTCTAATGCTTTCCCTTCCTCCAGCATACATGTTCTTGACTTAGAAACGAAAAAAGATGAACTCTGCGAATGGGACAAGAAGATCCAAGAGAAAGAGGAAGAATGGTTGAGAAACAGTGAGAAGAGAGGGAAGAAGGCGGCTGACGCGGCCAAAGTGGCGAAAGCCGAAATGGATGAGCTGATCCAGAACCGAAAGGATGATGTTATACCGCCAATCACAGCTCGAGTTAAAGTCAAAGCTGTCACTCCCGGTTTCGACTTCTCCGAGAGGTGCGGGAAGGCTCCTAACCCCGTGAACGACGTCACTGAGGAACAAAGAATCTACGGGGTGGCGGGTGATACGGAAGAGAAAGCTCTAGGACCATGTTTGGAGGAAATGCACAAGATGAGCAGCTGCAAATGGAAGTTCCGCGGAAAAGATGACAAGGAAATCGAAGAGCATGTCGAAGAGTGCCAGACGTTCAGGATTTTCGTAAAGGCCGTCATACCTTTCCGCGCCGAATCTGGGAGGCTGTGCTTTGGCTGCTACAGCCCTTTTCCAGCAGGCACAGAAAATGATATTCGAAAGCATTATGATGACAACCGCAGTGCGCTTCTGTCAATCCATTACTATGACTACGCTAGCATGCAGTGGCTCTGGATGGAGTACTGGAAGAGTCCTACAGCACATGACCAGCCAAAGTCTGCTAAGAGCCGCGGCTGGAGAACTCGCTATGATGCTTCACCTCTTTCAAAACCGCTCGTTATCTGGATTTTGCCCGGTGCCAGGACACGCTTTTACAACACTCTCAATAATGGGTTGGTGGAAGGGTACAAGAGATCTGACCCAGCGGGCCATGCCCATGAGGTCTTCGGCAAGATCATTGCACAAATCAATGAACGCGAAAAGAACGACGCGAGTAGGAAACATACCAAACTCCAGTTGGCACCGGAGAAGTGGGAGTGGGAATCAAGCCGCCACTATTGCCTTGTGAGTTTCCCCTCTTCCCTATCTTGTCATCAAATCAGGCTGATATTGGTTTTCTTGCTTGACATGCAGCTCTCAGAGGATCCTTTTCGATTGTACCAGACGTACATCCACAAGGACTGTATTCACGAGTACATGCAGAGGTTTAAGGATGCTGCAGATGAAGCCGACGGTAGGGAAGCGGAAGCAGTATCTCCAAAAGCCGATGGTGCGATGAACCTGGAAACCTCTGGTACCCAACAGGCCACGCCGGTAACAAACAAAGAAAGGAAAGATTTCATGCCCATTCGACAACTACCTATTGGGCTTGACCACAAGTATATCGATAAAATGAGTGAGTATGAAGCCAAGCAAGAGTCCTTTGATGATTACTGGCCCACTGATCCCAAAATAACTCCCGTTAAGAAGTCGGATGATCAAGATGAAGACGAGGGTGAGGCTGAGTACTATGAAAGTGACGAAGAGGAGAGCAACCCGCCCGCACAGGGGGAGCAAATCGTCGCCACCAAGACTTCTACTGGGGAAGTTGATGAGGAAGACACTAAGCCAATCGAGACGAAGTCAAAATCTACAAAGGAGATGGAGAAAAAGGCAGAAAAGGCTGAACCTAAGAAGGGCATGACACGCAGCATACACGTCAATCCCATCAATGCAGAAAAGGTAATCCAGGCCGCAGGTTCAAGGAAGGGCCAAAAGGACCAGAAAGCAGTTATGGGCTTTTCAGCATCTTATGTGAGTCCTTGCCTTATTCTCAAGCCCAAGACTGCTGACTGGTTCTCGTTCTATCACAGTTTGCGGACCAAGTTCTCGGCTGGTCATGGCGTCCTGGTCCAAAAGCCACTCTTAAAGATCGGCAAATGTCCAATGGTCTTTACATCGCTGAAGTAAGTGAACCCAAGGCGTGAGAAGGAGATATGAAGCACCACAAACTTTCTCTTCTACGTGCCTCCCTCTGGCCAGAAGGAACCGGGACTAACGTGGTTTGAATCACCAGTGGTTGCACCTGAGCGCATACTCCTGGGGCGGCATCCAGCAGGGCACCAACACTTCAGCCCAGAAGTCAAGCCAGACTAAAGAAAACCTCGTCTTTGGCACTTCAGAGGCAAACTCTTGCATGACTAGATACGAGAAGGCCTGGCAGCAACTCTTCAAGGACGAGAAGCTTCTCCGTGACAAGTTGGCAGATGAGCAAGCCAAGGCAAGCACGACAAGCACGACAAGCACGACAAGCACGACAAGCAAGACAAGCAAGACAAGCAAGAAAAGCAAGACAAGCAAGACAAGCAAGACAAGCAAGACAAGCATGGTAACTGAAATAGAAAAGTACGGCAAGGGCAACGACAAGAGAACTTACCTTCAGGGAGAGCTCAGTGTGGTTTGCAACACCAAGAGTGGACCCTACCTCTTTGATGAGATTGACACAGAGACGGAGAAATACGTTTGGAAGAAAAGAAACCCTATTGAGGAGGATTCAACACTGGCTAAGCTCGCTGAGGAATTTCCATTCCTTGCTTACAACATCCGCTACGAGATCCGACTCATGGGTCAATCCAGGATCTTGGCCCCCCTGGGTGAAAGTGATAGTGACATGGCTGGCACTGAATACGAGCTCCCAACAATCCTGCACATGAAGGCCATGTTTTACCCATTCAGTCGAAGATTCTACCATCGATCTGAGCATCTCCTCGACTCGGCTTTGTATCAGCACATGTTCATGTTGGGTGCCTTGAACCGATTCGATGGAGATAGAGCTTTGGCTGAAAAGGTTTTCGAGGGCAGGTTCAAAACAAAGAAGCTAAACGACTACAAATCCTGGAAAAAGCTTAGCAAGGCTGATGAAGAAGCTGCAGGGAAGGGCAAGGCTTTAAGAGAATTGGAAACCCTGAAGAAAAAGCCTCTCACGGAGGAAACAGCCCTCGACCTCCAAGATGCGCAAGTGAGGTATCAGCAAGCAGTCCAGGCCAATGTGAGGAACATGAAGAGTTATACAAGCAAGGCGGGCAGCATTGTCAAGTGGCCGATGGGAAACAAGGCAAGGAAATATATTGGTCAGATGAGTTTCGTGCCGAAAAATGAGACATATGTCAGCGAGTCTCAAGGTGAGGCGCATCCAGACAATTTCAAGAAAGTTCCTGGGCAGCCAGAGAGCTCAAGTCTCATCTGATCTGATAAGAGCACAGGTTACTATGGGTAATCACAGAAGTAGTTTAGTTTTTCTCAATTGAATGCCTTACTAGTATGTATTTTAGGTCGACATAGGAAAGTTTACTGCGAATGCTTTTTGCTTTATCTGTTGGTATTTCACTTACATTGGCCTTAATAGTTACAGAGATATGGTTTTGAACACCAAAGTAGGAAAATTAAAGCATTAATGCAAGGAGACTTCAGTGACGTTAGGCAGATCCCCAACCAACTGACATAGTTCAATTATGTAGGAGTCTCTAGAACACCAGGAAAACTCTGAATATCGGTTGTTCTCAGTACAAAACAAGACGATTATCTGCTTCATCAATCATGACATGTGAGATAAGGCCGGGCAAAAGGACCGAATCCGGCCGAATCTTGGCAAGATCCATTTTTTCAGCATCGGCTATGCCGGCATTGAACCGGAGATGGATTGTCCTTATCGATAAAGTGGGTCAGTTCTGACTCTTTC